AGGCGGAGCTGCGCTGGGCCGCGAACGCCCATTTTTTGGTAGGGCGACCCGATCGGGTCCATAGTTTAGCGAAGCGGCTCGAGCAGGTCGATGCCAGAAGGGCCGTAGTGGAGGAGGCTTGCACAGAGCTTTTGCCTCGGATGCGGAACAGGGAGTCCTAGACTCCTGCCTCGCGGACTACGAGAAATTTTTTTCGCTCACGGACGCTTTGATCGAGGCGGGGGCCAAATATGATAATGAAGCGCGGGAAGCTCGGCTGACTGGCCTGCCCGAGTCCCTTCGGAAGCAGCCCACTCAGCCGGAGCTGTTGGGACGACTCCCAACTCTTGACCTGCCAAGGTTCTCCGGGGTCCTCTCCGACTGGCTGACCTTTGTTGGCCTTTTTCATAGCCTAGTAGACGCCCAGAGGGACTTGACACCAAGCCAGAAGATGGCGTACCTCCTGGCCTCGCTGGAGGGGGAGGCCCTGGGCGTCGTCGGCCATTTGAGATTGTCGGACGACGCCTACCAGACTGCTCGGGACCTCCTCGCCGAAAGATACGCCAACGTCCGGCGAATTGCGGACGAATATGTTAGTCAGCTTCTTAGCCTCCCGCTGCTTAGGGACCAGGCCAGACTACGCCCGGACATTGTGAATCCAGTCTTGGTGGCCTGTAATGCGTTGAGGCGGCTGGATGAATGGTCCTACTTGTTGCTCCACATCGTGCTGTCCCGCCTGCCTCTCGACCTTCGGATACATTTTGAGGAGAGGTACGGCGGGGACGGCTCCTACTATATTCCACCCTTCAGTGATTTGCTGCGGTTCTTGGAGGAGCAGTGCCGGCAAATTTAGAACGCGGCGAGCACCGTCAACGACTTACGGGTTGACAACCGAGCCGTGCCCAGTGAGAGGCGGAATTCGCCGTGCAAGTAGCCGCCATCCCCCCTAAGGCCGATCGGAGCTCCCGCAGGAGGGCACCGCTCTCTACCATCGTACAGTGGCCTAGCGGCCAGGGAGGCGCCCCCCTGCTCCTATAGTCGCGCATCCGATCACAGAGTGACGTCGTGCCCAAAGTTATTGGGTACGCCGGTTTCGGCGAGGCGAACTATCGCCAAGGTGCGCCGCTGGTGCTATTCGTGTTTGGAAAGGCACCTCCAGCGAGACTGCCCGCACCAGCGGCCCTGTCCGCACTGCCAGGGCAATCACCATGCCGTTTTGTGCCTGGATGCGACCGTCGTCTCCTCTCGGGAACACACCATCTGGATGATTGGCGGTCCACCACTGTGCGATTTAGAAGATGTTTTCTTCCTCGCACGACTTCCTTGTGGAATCGATTACCATCAGCGATTTTTCCGGACCGATACGACATAGGGACCTTCAAGAAAAGAGCGTACACCTTTTTAAAAGGCCGGCAACGCAACTGCGATTCCTTCCCTGGTGTTGCAATTGTTCATGGGCGGCGGTAGTCACTTACCATCAGGTGAGCCGCATGCTCGTTTGCCCCTCTCCTATAAAAAAAGTTCGACAGTTGGCTCTGTCTGGCAGAAAGATCTCTAGCAAAGACTTTGGAGCCCTGGTTCCGTTCAATCGCTTCTTCAATACGTGCTGTATTGAAGTTGCGTAAGTCCCGCCGTATGCATTTAGAGATCTGTCTGTTCAGTTACATCACTTACGGGGTGATTATTCTTACGTCGCCACTAAACGGCATATTTTAGCTTACAGTTTCCATTGTTACATAAGAATTTGTTAAAGAATAGTGTTAACGTTTCCTTTAGAGGATTTTAGAAATAAAACTTCAATATTTATGAGAAAAATTATATTAACTGCTACAAAGTATCAACACGTATTACTATAATATAATCGCGAATCGCGACTGATGTCACACATTTCTCTATCACATTCATACAAATCTCTTTCACTCACACCTCTCGCTCGCACACATACAAGAACGTCACGTTATAATTTACATTGCTTCGTATTCTTTATTGAGACACAGTACTGAGGCAACTATGATGTACAAAACGACCTTACAAATAAGAGTAACGTTGAAAACCAGTTCACATGAGAGCACAACGCCTACTCACGTGTGAATGTGCTCTAATCGTTCAATATTATAAATGTATACAAGTATATAATGTACATGTACACGAGAATTTTTTTCTTACAAAGGGATATTGAGGACAAACGTAGAAATGATTCCTGCTCAAAAGCAAAACAAACATTGCTATAATAAATAATTGGATAGTAGACACCATTGTTACAAATGATTTTTTTTTTCATTTATGGTGGAATTAGCTACAAGCCCTATTGCCACAAAGAATACGTACGAATAGGCTGCAAAACAATTTAAACATATTCAATAAATTTTTCCACAATACGTTGGTGCGTCACATTGCGAAGTTTTTGGGAGATTTTGAAGGCAGACAAAGCCAGCAAACAGTCGGTGATGATCCCATGACTATCCCAAGTCGCCTAACCAGATAAACTTAAGTATATATAACCATTTGCATGTTTGGACATTAAATACACAAAATTGCACCACTTTTACGTATTTAAAAGAGACTTCATACCATTACTAAAGCAATAATATAAGAGCAAATCCCACCGGTGTTTAAGTTCCCGCCAAAACCTTTGTTGATTTTTGGGTCATATTAGATTTGCTATTCTTCATAATGTTTCAAAACTAGGTATAGATTTAACATCATTTAATATTGGATAAGATGTTGATGATTTAAAAATACACAAATTAGATGTTTAGTTAAAATAAATTTGAATTTGACAAACGTCGTTCACAACCAACTATTCATATACATTTTTGTTTATGTTTTAAAAACTAATGCCGACAATGCACCAATAATGCTTGTGTTAGGAGGGTTTAGTAGTCGGATTATGTAAATACCCTCAGTCACTTATATTTTGGCAGATCTAAAAGTACCCCATATCATCTCGTGGGTGTCGTAAGAGGCGACAGGGGGAAGCAGCGGCTTCCCCATAACAAATAAAAATAAAAAACTGCGGTTACCTACCCGCCTGCGAATATTTACCTTATGAAGCAATCTATGAAGAGGCATGTGTTTAGATGTCAACTTTTGTGAGGTTTAGGCTATGGTACGGTATGGTAACGGCAAGACGTATACGGTAGGTAACGGTATGGTAACATTTGACAAGTGTCTACTATCCTATTGTAGATGAAAGATAATGTGTTTTATAACAGAATCGTAATTAAATTATAAGAGCCCTAATAATAGATCCAATTTACTAGAGGCATCCCATGTGCCATCTCACTCACAAATTGACTTCAGTAGCATCCGCACCGTGTCGACTTTGTGGTCAGCGGTCAGTCTGCCATTGTTACATAAAAAATTTAAATTCTAACATAACATTATTTACAATATTCAACATTATGGCTTATACGAAGTTTTCAAGTTTAATTCGAAACTCATTTCAACTAGTAAGTTGGATTTTACAACCGTGTAGCGATGATGTAGGATATTCAATTATCAAATATCATCCCACAAAAAAGAAATACTTCTTACTATCTCTAATACAGAAATGTAGTAAGAAATTCACTTTACTATACATATTTCTGTTATTTCTCTGTGCATATGTTTTTTGAAAAGAAAGGAACACCTGTAGAGAAGTTTCAAATCCACAATTTCATATAAAAGTGAAACTAGCAACAATTATTTTTGAATCGAATTTGTCACCAGCAGCACCACAGCGAATACGCCAATTTTGTAATACTGATATTTGGAAAGTGTTATGCAGAAATGATTCAACCCACAAAATGGCCAAAATAATAATACAGAGGCTCTTTTTCAGTTTATTTCCAAATATGATGAAATGCTGCTGATAATAACAAGTAATCCCAAAATCTACATTTTTTTTTAATATTATATACATAACACGATATAATAGGGCTTCTGCCACAACGAAACGCATTTCACAACGAAATGCATCTTTCAAATCTGAATGACTTTATCTTTTTTTAGTGAGGAACATTTCTGCACAACACAGTCCATTTACTTTAATGAAAAAATATGGTTTTAAGTAACTTGTTTATAAGCAAGTGTTTGTATAATTATTGTGCTTAGTATAAATATTTTTCTAGAACTTTTTTCACGTCACCAAAGAGATAAGGGTTTTTAAGTTGAGCTATTCCAAGTAGTGGCCAAGTTTTGCAAATAAATAGGCGATAGCAGTCGCTGACTGACTGTGTAACAGACACATCAGTCACGATTGGTCCGAGTATTCGATTCAATTTGTATTAAATGACATTTGTTTTTGTTGCACATTACAATTTTTTTTTTCTATAACTGAATATTATAACACAGAACATAAGAGAAGACGGATTTACATTCCATCATTGATTAGTCGGACTTTTCTGTTTTAATGTAATAATAACTTATACTTCTCATATAAAGTTATCAGCATTGAGCGCAAGTCATTTTGTACCTTAATGCCATCACATACACTATAATACAAATTAAACGGCACGTTGTGAAACATTTTTTTCCTTCTATTACTGGACTAAAGTTTTAATACTATAATAAATTCGAAGAATTTTTTGATTTAACACAACAAATGATTAATTATAATTTTTGCCACATTTTAAAAACATTAGAGAAGTAGTCGAGTAACAAGTGAATCAGTTATGCACAGGGAATTCAACTTTACTTACTCTAGTTGGTAGGTATATTTTGCGACATCGCTCTATCAATTAAGCACAATCAGTATCAAGTGTGATTCAAATCATATCCGGTTCATAAACATCGAACAAAGGAATTTATCCTATATTGACCCGTAATTAGATATACAATTCCTTGAAGCTTAATTCAAATGAACCTCCATCCACTTACGTATCTCAGTGACGGCTACGTGCAATTTTCGACCGTATACATTAGTAGTTAAGAGTTGATAGTTGCGTTCACTTGTGTCCATTAACATGTATTTTGCTAAGCGGTCCGCATTGCGTATAAAAATCGACCGTAATGTCTATGTGGTAGAGTTGAGTATGCGTTCACTTGTGTAGGCCCGCCCGCTTGGCCTCCAGCTCGTATATGAGCAGGCGCCACATTTTCACCACGAACACTTCCGCTTCATCGTCCAACACCTGTCAACAAATGTCGAGTCAGTGGAGCAACGTTACGTCGTTTAGATGCGTGGGTGCATTGTCTGAGACGTCTGGATTGCAGTGTCAAGTGTGGAGTGAGACAGTGCTGACGCCGTGTGAAACACATGCCATGTCTCATGGTCTCCTATATAATATAAAGGAAGCACTCAATTTGAATACCTTGGCCATATAGTTACCGAAGATTTAGATGATGACGATGCTATAGAGAGCCAGCGAAGTACGTTGTTGGTCCGGTGCAATATGCTAGCTCGCAGGTTTGCACGTAGTATGAGAGAAGTAAAAATTATTCTTTTCAAGGTGTTTTGCTAATCATTTTACACGTGCAACCTGTGGGTTAGATATACGCAGCGGGTCTACAATGTTTTTCATGTGCAATATAATAATGCATTTATTGGTGTTGTTGGGGTTTTAACGATTTTGTAGTACGTCAAGTATGTTTTTTGAAGCAGTAGCGGACAGCTTTTAATTTATTTTGCGAAAAAGAATGCGCAGGCTTCGATGGAGCACTAACAGCATCTGGAGATTTATTTTGAAGAAATCAGATTGTCTGTTTCTGTATTGGGCATGTATACACTGCAGCGGGTGTGGTGCAGTGGAAAGTGGGTAGAGGTATATAATTAATTTAGTTATAATTAGTTAATATTGTTATTAGTATATTTAGTTTAAAAATGATTTATTAATCTATAATACCGATCATAGTAAATGATTATTATTATTAACTATTACATGATATTACAATGTTGTAGGGTTGTTATTTTAGTTTTTGTCACAAACGAGCACATAATTCACCAGAAGGATCTCTCACAGAAAACTAGCGTAAAATAGCAGTTTAACGTTGCTGTGTTTTGTATGGGTGAGTGTAGAGAACCGGAGACCCTTTTTACTTGTAAAGAGGCATTCTATTTTAGTCCTCATGGGAGATAACGCATTTGCATCTTGAGTTTTTGTTGAGGGTAGATGTAGATGTCTATGGGTCATAGTAACCACTTACTATCAGGTGAACTGTGTGTTCGTTTGTCACCCGATACTATAAAGAAAAATAATCTACTCATGTTGTCTATAGACACTTGTGTTTGTCTTCGATTGAGAATCAAAATGTAGATGTATCGTTACCCGTGAGGGTTAAGATGGAGTGTCTCGTTTCCAGTAAAAAGGGTGTTTGGTTTTCTACATTGAGCAGGTTTTACGTTGGTATTTTGTGAGAGCGTGGTATTACTTCAGCAGAGGACCCTTTCGTCTCTCGTGGCGCAGCCAGTAGCCACAAAACAGTTGTAAAGCGTGTCCCACAAAGAAGCGGCTCGCGGTGGCGGCCAGTCACGTTCGCTCGCAATGCGAGTGAGTCTGCACACGTGCGGCAACGCCACGCTCTCCCCCCGCGCGCCCCGAGCGTGCGGCTGCGGCCCGCCGCTCGCAGATCGCGACGCGGCCGCACAGGTGCGTGTGCAGACTCACTTACACTGCAAGCGAATACAGCTGCCCGCCACCGCGAGCCGCTCCTATGTAAGAGACGCGACACGCGACTGTACCACACATAAAACCCTATTCATTGTTTTTATCACAACCAACACTGTGCATAATTTGACGGCACCCATTACTAAAAAATTACTCAAACCGGCAATAAGTGGCAATATCAAAAGTAGTACTCACTCACATCTGGTACTGCGATCGCCACAAACAAATCTTTCCTAACAATGACACTAGCCCATGTCAAAGTGTAGAATGAACGAAGCAAATGTAATATATGAAGTGCCACTCCTACTGCATTGTAGAAAAGAATAGAATCATTCAAAATTTTTAATCAATATGGATTAGAAAACTTTCCTTGTAAAAAAATCACTTTATTACTTCTACTGCAAAAAACCCATCGGAAATTGCTAGATGCGTGATTATTACGCGTAACGTGTTTAGTATTTAACATATACTGTAATATAATGCAATGTGAGTAGTGAAGTACGTGAAGTGAATTGTGCACAGTGTAGTGTGTGAAAAACATTGTGTACATAATACATATTACGCGTAGTTTGATGCATATGCTAAAAGCGTGTACTGTATTCATCATATTATGTAGTATATAGTGTAGTGCGTGCAGAGAAATGTGTGATATAGTAATTGTAGTATAATGGTGTAGTAAAAAATGTGAGAATGTTGTTTGTGTAATATAGAGCGCGCAATACATTGCGCGCTCTATATTACACAATACAGTACACTGTATTACATTACACATACACTACATCACAATACAGTACACTGTATTGTGATGTAGTGTATAGCATTGTGCCGTTAGAGTTAAACCGGCCAGCAACTTGCTACAGATAAAATTTAGTGTGTGTAATGTAAAACGTGTAGTGTGTATAAAATAATGTGTATGTAGTCTATATAGTGAATACAATGTGTACAATGTATACAGTGCGTAAAATATGTGCAGTGTGTCAAGTGTATGAACTATGTGTAGTTTATAAAGTGTTTGCCGTGTATAAAATGTGTAGTGTGTAGTGTATGCGTGTATACAGTGTGCGCAGTATGGAGTACTCACTGAAAACCAGCGTAAAATAGCAGCTTAACGCTGCTGTGTTTCGTATAGTGAGTGTAGAGAACCGGAGACCCTTATTACTGGCAAAGAGGCATTCCATCTTAATCCTCACGGGTGACAACGCATCTGCATCTTGAGTCTTTATTAAGAATAGATGTAGATGTCTATGGGTCACAGTAACCACTTACCATCAGGTGGACTGTGTGCTCGTTTGTCACCCGATACTATAAAAAAAATGTACTGTGCACATTATGTACAGAATGCACGTACCATCTGCACGTCATCCAGGATGCCGGCGGGCGCGGAGCCAGCCAGCACTTTGCTGCAGATAAAGTCAACTAGAGTAGGCTCCGGCTCGCCGATGTACTCGATGATCTTCTTGTTGATCCACGGCCGAATCTTCTTCTCCATCAGCGTGTTGTCGATCTGTTAAACCGTATTCCAAAAAACAGCTGTACAGTTGTAGGGTCTAAATAGAAAAAAATACAGAAGAAATTCGAGACATATTTATAGACCACAGCGACCACATACCGTCAGGTGGACCGTGTGTCCTTTAGTCAACCTTACCGTATAAACAATATATGGTGGGTATTCAGAGACGAAGTTGAGTTTTAACTCAAACATCACTTAACATTAGGTGAGCCATATCTTTTTCGATACTTTGCCTCCTCTTCCATAAAAAAAAACAATGTCAAAATTTGTGTAAGATCATACGAAGTAAAGTTCGAGATTGTCTCTACCAGTCTCTACATTCATCTTGCCGCGTGTTACAACTTCTTTCTCGTATTTAGTAGTTGTAATCGTTGTGGAAAGCCATCAGGTAAACAAAAATAGTAATAAGAAGAATTAGGTGGTAAAAAGCCGGTCTGTCAGAGCCACGGTTCGCGTGTCATTTCAGGTTTCTGAATGAATTTCTAATTCAAGTAATATTCACGTTCAAATTGATATAATTGAGTCGAAAAAACAAATAAATTAATATCTAATTGGTGGTTACTATGCCCAAGAAATCCATGTAATATTTTAGTACTCACCAGATGTCGCTAGTTGGAACTGAGGTGAAGTTATTTGTTACAGTGTCACCATAAGTGAAAATTTGTGTTTCAAATAAAAGTTTTTCGGTTTTTAGTGTGTATACATAAAACAATGCCTCTGTGCACTGTAATCTTTGTTGCACATTTTTAATTCTCTTTTTAATTCTTTTACTTTTAGGAAAATCCGTAGTTTGGTTTATTCCTTTTTAATCTAATTAATATAAGATATAACTAATATTTTACACAGAGAGATTAAACTTAATAATTTCCTCACAATTTAACTTCTTCTCCATGACAACTGTCAAATATTTCACCTCATTATTAAGTAGCGCCGCCCTGGTGGCTGAAAAAGTTGTGAGGTTGTCAAGTGATATTTTGGAAGAATCTAGAACAACAATAAGAGAATACATAATTTCTACCACTAATATCCTCGGAGGATTAAAAGCTACACCTTGGATGTAGGAAAAAAGACCGGATGTTAAATAAGCATATCTACAGCGACCCTTCATGCGTATCTATGTGTAAAGACCGAGATATCGCTGAAAAAACCAGGATAAGAAGGAGCTAGAGGAGATAGACGTACACAACTGGACAGAGGTGGGAAGAGTGGCGTGATTTGTTGTCAGGTCTACATTTGGTCCCATCAGCATAAGTAGATACTGTGGCCCATAGCAATCTACATTTATCCTCAATTAAAAATCAAAACGCAGATGCGTTCTTACCGCTGAGGACTAAGATGGAATGCCTCGTTTCCAGTAAAAAGTGTCTCCGGTTCTCTACACTCACCATACAAAATACAGCTGCATTAAGCTGCTATTTCACACTGTTATTCTGTGAGAGCGAGGTTCTATCCCGTTCGAGCCGACCCATTCGTGCTACAACCATAATATAGCTGCAGCGTGACTCTACCGCGTCATAATACGATCTGTGTGCAAACAGCGACTCTACCTGCGATGTGTCCAACTTGTACTGGAATAGCTGATCCTTCTGCGTTGGGATTTTGTCGATCAAGCTCTTTATGTGTTTGCGCTTCTCCTCCGCAGATTTGTTCTCCTTCTCTTTTTCTTTGTCTTTCTCCGGGTCGCCGCTGTCGCCCTTTTTGCTTTTATCTGTTGACAATAGAACAACTCTTATTTATAACACACATAGTTGTTAATTTTACAATAAAAATTAAAGATTGACAGTAAATGTTTAAAAAAAATGTTTTGTTATAAATTAATTATTAATAGTATAACAATTATTTATTTTGTAATACGTAGTGTCGGTGTAAGAATATCCACTACACCATACCGTCCCGTGGGTGCCGTAAGAGGCGACAGAGGGGAACTGAAACAGGATAATAAAAAACTGCGGTTGCCAACCTGCGTACCAAACTATGGCAAATACCCCCTTTGAGGTAAACTATGGGGGAGGCCCATGTTTAACAGTGGACTGTTGTAGATTGTGATGAATGGATGGATGGACTTAGTTGTCCTAACATAAAAAATTTATAAATTATAATAAAAATTGACTCACAAAGAGGGCTGTTATTTCGCTCACCAGATGTCGTTCGTTGTGAAGATATTTTTTGCACAACGTCATGTTAATCGAGATGTGACGTGTTAGGTGAAATTATTTACTTTAATGGAGACAAAACATATAAAAAATCATACAAAGAAAAATAAACAAAAGGTAATTACACCTCTTTCCTACAAACTGTCTATCTGAGAACTGAATATCTGAGAAGTTTTGCACAACGAGCAGCTGACAATTAAAATGTACAATACAAATTATTCGTTTAAATCTAATTTATAATTGTTAGTAAAATATTTTTTTAATTCAGTTTTGAAGGCCTTACGGGAGCTAGAGAATTATTGTGGGAGGGAGCTATCGTGGTCGTTAGTGTCGGTTTACTTTTTAATTTCTCTAATTTCTCTTTAAAATTATATTACTTTTAGAAATATCTGTAGTTCGATTTATCCATTCTTTTCTAATTAATGTAATATTTCAGAAAAAAAATACATTAAACCTTAATTTTTCCTATCATTACATCCGTGTGATAGGAGAAGAAATATTTCACCTCATTTCTGATTGGCACTGATAGCACCATAGCAAAAATGTCGTGGAAGCATTCATTGACAAATATACTGAGTAACATATATACAAAAAATAACAGCTAAATTAACCTCCTCTTTCTTTTAAGTAGGTTAACATAAAGTTCTTTAATAAGAACATACCTGATTGGGAATCTTTGGAGCCGCTTATGCTGGGTCGGCGGCCTGGGGCTTTTTCTTTAACTGAAACAAAATGTATTATAAATCTATACGTGTAAATAAAATTGAAATGTCTGTAATATTTAAATAACCGGCTTCTATTAAGTTCAGGTGAACATAATAAATGCACCTAAAACCATGTATTTTTCAAAATGTGTAAGATGCATAAAGCATCTCCCACACACAAGCGGCGGCGGCGGTTAACCGCGAGCCGCGGCTCTAGCTGCTGCAACAACACACCACCGCGGCCGGAGTGGCGGCCTCTAGACATGGGCAATGTGTATCACTTAAAAGAAAAGATTGATATGTATCTTTTGATCACTAGGATATGTATCACTCTTTTATATCTTTATATCCTTATGTATCAGTAGATCATGCTCGCGTTCACGACACGCATCGCATTACATTTCGTTGCTCACTCAGCGTGGCTCGCTTCGCTCAACTCAATCCTATCAGTAAGAGTGATAGATACCTATCGACCTATATATAAGACCTATAGAGCTGTTTGCATTTTGCTTGGTCGTAGCATTGTGCATCTTTCTGATATATTTGGTTGCTGTTTCTTTCTAGGTATTTTTTAATCATAACAAATAGTGTTATGATCAAAAAATTAAAGTTTTTTTATTTCTCAGACATGCCGGTTTCCTCATGATGTTTCCCTTCATCGCCGAACACGTGGTAAATCAGCACTTAAAATTGCAATCAACAATTTCATTGGTGCCGGCGGGGATCGAACCCGGGTTGCTCGCGTACTGTGAAACTTACAGCGATCGCTATTATTGTTATGATTGATAAATATTAATAGGCACTTACTGGAAAAATTTACTTACAATTTTAGTTTAAAATAATAATTAAATAAATGATTAACGTAAATAACATAGGTAGGGTATTTTTAATAATTTTAAACTAATATACCTACGAATTTGTTCGGAACCCTGGGTGCGCGAGTCCGACTCGCACTTGGCCGTTTTTTTATGGATATAAACGACTACTATTTCGGTTATAAAACTTTCTTAAAAACGATGGTTTTATAACCGAAATTAGTTTGCAATGTTTAGTAAAAAATGCATAGGCAAAGTACACATAGGTACGGTTTAAACCAGTATAATACTTAAATGTTAACGTACCGCTTAATGACTTTAAGCCTTGTGCACCAGTCATAGAGTTATTAATTTACCTTTTTGTGCCAACGTATTACAGTTTAGAATGGTCAAACAACTCACTCTCTCCGTCTTGCCAAAGCGCGACAGAACATTCTAAATAGTGAGCTGCGAAAGAAACGTCTGTACTATGGACTTCGAAATCTTCCTGGAATGCCCAGCCACGCCGGCCGAGGTATAATAGAAAGCAGTGTGCGCAATGTGCGACACAGATGTTAGATATAAAAAGTTAAAAGATGCCTTGAGTGAATAAGTTGTAAAGATATACTGATACAGTGATACATTCGGATGCGGATGGATATAAAGATTGATTAATGGAAACGGATTGATTCATATCTTTTGTATCTATCTTTCCTGAGTTACCCATCTCTAGCGGCCTCCAGCGTCATTCGCTGTGGTGTCTGTGCTACGATTAGACGTCAGTAAACATGACAAACCGCGACGAAGTGTTATTATATTCAGCAATATTATCATATATTTTGTTTTTAATCCTAATGCTTTTGTGATCACGATGCGAATTATCATAAAGTACTGGATAATTTTGCAGTGTTTTTTTAAATTGTCTGCATTTAGCACTATTTCTCACGCGGTACATGCGGCCTATTGTAAAAATTTGCAACAGACCGCGCTGCGGCCACCGACTAACCACGTACTCGCTAACACACACGCGTTGGCAAATGAGGCGGAGCGTGCGGCCGCGGCCAGCCGCTTGCAGATCGCGACGTGGCCGCACGAGTTTGCAGACTCACTTACAATGCAAGCGAATACAACTGGCCGCCATCGCGGCCGCCACCGCAATCCGCTTGTATGGTAGACGCTTAATGTGTACGTGCTTTCGTGTATAAACAGTACATGCATGCATATAGTTTTTTACATGGTAGAGCCATGCTGCAGCTATATTAATTCGTCATCGAGGATAGATGTAGATGTCTACGGGTCATAGCAATCACTTACCATCAGGTGGATAGTTGGTTACCCTTACCCTATAAAAAAAAACTTATTTTTAATTATCGACATTTCGGTTGCTTTGTAGCAGCCATGGTCACGAGGGAGGGGGTAGGGGTGGGGGGACGTGGGAAGCATAAGTAGAATGCGAAGTGTACCTGGCGGCGAGTCGTCGTCGCGCGCGAAGGCGGCGTGCACACGGCGCGAGCGGCCCTCCACTGCACACAGGTACACACAGCTTAACTACAACTCATTCATTCAACAATCCTCTACAAACATAAACTTGTTAAATTAAACACTACCAAATATAACGATAACGTTATTAACTCTTCATTTTGTTATTTTTATTTGTTTGAGTTTTATTTTAGAAATATTAACTGTTTTATTCAATATAAAAATTATAAATAATACTGATTGAACATCTAAACTCTTTTGTTTAATAATAATGAAAGTATTTTTGTATATATTGTGATTTAGGAACATATTTTTTCTGATTATTGTTTATTGTGTAGTTGTTATTACTAAGAATATCCACCATCCCATATCGTCCAATGAGTACAATAAAAGGCGACAGAAGAAAACTTAAGCAGGAGGTGGAAAATACTGCGGTTGTCAAATGTCAAGCCGTAGCGTAGTATGCCAACCGTGGCAATTAACACTAACTACCTAGAAAAATATGTATTAATGAATCATGTTGTAACAATGGAATTTTTATTAACTTCAAAGATGGTTTGATGGTTGATGATGGATTTTCATCCTCTACAGTAGCTGAATAAATATCCTCTTCATTAACTTCTTACTGTCTAGAAACTGGATTATTGTGGAGCACTGCACATGATTCAATAACAGTTAAAATATCTGAATTAACTACATTCTGGAGACAGGTCAAATCTTCTCTTAATTACACCAAAGAGCCATTGTATAGAATCTTTGGTTTTTATCTAACAGTGATTATATGCTTTTTCAATTGGTGTCCTAGGATTCAAAATTGGGGTTAATAAAAAGGGGCGATATGAATAACCACAATATATTTAATAACAATGAGTTAATACAATTTTGTTACATATAATAATTGTATTTCCAAAGAGTCTAATCTAAAGAGTCTATCACTCTTTGGAATCCAATTGCATAAAATTTTCATTTGCTACCTCAAAATGTTCCTCAGTAGTTAATATTTCACAATTGCTAGTTTTGCTGTTACTCTGTCCACGATCTGATGAACAGTCAGTTGCTTAATGTGATATATGTTCGTTATAACAATTAATTAACTGTCTGTCGCGTAAAACCGAAGTGTAATCAATATTTGGTTCACTATTTTGAACTATTTCGATTCGTCAGAGATATTATTGTGCTGCCGAATACATAATCCAAATAAAACAGTCTCTTTGGAGATGCGGTTCTGCGTACGAAATTTCTCTTAATATTATTTCTTTGATTTCCTGAAGACTTCTCGTTATCCGAAAGGGAAGTTTCAACGACGTAACAGATATTTTAACACTTGGAAAAATATTTTTAAAATTTCGGAGATCCCGCTAACATACAATGTTAACAGTTACTCAAATTAATTTGACATCGAATTAGGAAACGCCTTGAGAAACGTCTCAGTATACCATTTTTTTTTTATTGAGTGGTGTTTATGAACAACCCAATTTGAGACACGCTTAAATTGAAGAGATGCTCAAAATTTGGATTTGAGAATACGAATAGAGTCTAGGAGCTGCTCAAACTTTTAACAGACCGTTAAAAATTTGGGGGAGGTTTCAGTATTTTGGCAAAAGACGCATATAGTTTTGAAAAAAAAATGGATGTCGTGCTTAATGACCACACGGTAGAAATGAAAACTTTTGATTTTCCAATTTCTAAATAATATTATTTGTGTGATGATTCACTTTTATTCACTGCTCAGAAAGAACGTGCCAAAATAAGTTTTCACTTCAATAAACAGAAAAGTTAATACAGATGTATACAATGCAATATGTGTCTGTGTGTCTGTGTGTGTGTGTGTGTGTGTGTTTGTGGGCAGGACAACTCACTTGTGGGCGTGTCGGCGGAGGGCGTGGGGCTGGGCTTGCTGCGGAACGTGATGCTGATGGGCGAGCTGCCGCCCGACGTCGCCGCCTGTCAAACAACATTAATCATCAACTCGTTCGGATTACCAAACAACTAATTCAAAATACTCATCATCCAACACTATAAATTAGTTTATATTAAGTTATATAATGTGTGATGGTCGTGCGAGTGTGAGTTTTGTTTTGTGTGTGAAGATGTAAGGGTGTAGAAGATGCGAGAGATTATGTGTGTGTGACGGTTTCGGTGTGTGGGGAATGTGTGGGGAATGTGTGTGGAGATGTAAGGATGTGAGTGTGATAGTTTAAGGTTGCTTACAAAGATGTGGTGGTGTGAGTGTGTGTGGATGTACGCACATGTGTAAAGATGTAAGGGTATGTTGAAAGTGTGAGTGTGTGAGGTATGAGGGTATGAATCTGTAATCCAGTCGGGTGTGTGAAGGTGTATGTGTGTGCGTGTACTCACGTGGTGGCGCACGGAGCGCTCGGTGTGAAGGTGTATGTGTGTGCGTGTACTCACGTGGTGGCGCACGGAGCGCTCGGTGTGAAGGTGTATGTGTGTGCGTGTACTCACGTGGTGGCGCACGGAGCGCTCGGTGTGAAGGTGTATGTGTGTGCGTGTACTCACGTGGTGGCGCACGGAGCGCTCGGTGTGAAGGTGTATGTGTGTGCGTGTACTCACGTGGTGGCGCACGGAGCGCTCGGTGTGAAGGTGTATGTGTGTGCGTGTACTCACGTGGTGGCGCACGGAGCGCTCGGTGTGAAGGTGTATGTGTGTGCGTGTACTCACGTGGTGGCGCACGGAGCGCTCGGTGTGAAGGTGTATGTGTGTGCGTGTACTCACGTGGTGGCGCACGGAGCGCTCGGTGTGAAGGTGTATGTGTGTGCGTGTACTCACGTGGTGGCGCACGGAGCGCTCGGTGTGAAGGTGTATGTGTGTGCGTGTACTCACGTGGTGGCGCACGGAGCGCTCGGTGTGAAGGTGTATGTGTGTGCGTGTACTCACGTGGTGGCGCACGGAGCGCTCGGTGTGAAGGTGTATGTGTGTGCGTGTACTCACGTGGTGGCGCACGGAGCGCTCCGTGTGAAGGTGTATGTGTGTGCGTGTACTCACGTGGTGGCGCACGGAGCGCTCGGTGTGAAGGTGTATGTGTGTGCGTGTACTCACGTGGTGGCGCACGGAGCGCTCGGTGTGAAGGTGTATGTGCGTGTACTCACGTGGTGGCGCACGGAGCGCTCGGTGTGAAGGTGTATGTGTGTGCGTGTACTCACGTGGTGGCGCACGGAGCGCTCGGTGTGAAGGTGTATGTGTGTGCGTGTACTCACGTGGTGGCGCACGGAGCGCTCGGTGTGAAGGTGTATGTGTGTGCGTGTACTCACGTGGTGGCGCACGGAGCGCTCGGTGTGAAGGTGTATGTGTGTGCGTGTACTCACGTGGTGGCGCACGGAGCGCTCGGTGTGAAGGTGTATGTGTGTGCGTGTACTCACGTGGTGGCGCACGGAGCGCTCGGTGTTAAGGTGTATGTGCGTGCGTGTACTCACGTGGTGGCGCACGGAGCGCTCGGTGTGAAGGTGTATGTGCGTGCGTGTACTCACGTGGTGGCGCACGGAGCGCTCGGTGTGAAGGTGTATGTGTGTGCGTGTACTCACGTGGTGGCGCACGGAGCGCTCGGTGTGAAGGTGTATGTGTGTGCGTGTACTCACGTGGTGGCGCACGGAGCGCTCGGTGTGAAGGTGTATGTGCGTGCGTGTACTCACGTGGTGGCGCACGGAGCGCTCGGTGTGAAGGTGTATGTGTGTGCGTGTACTCACGTGGTGGCGCACGGAGCGCTCGGTGTGAAGGTGTATGTGTGTGCGTGTACTCACGTGGTGGCGCACGGAGCGCTCGGTGTGAAGGTGTATGTGTGTGCGTGTACTCACGTGGTGACGCACGGAGCGCTCGGTGTGAAGGTGTATGTGTGTGCGTGTACTCACGTGGTGGCGCACGGAGCGCTCGGTGTGAAGGTGTATGTGTGTGCGTGTACTCACGTGGTGGCGCACGGAGCGCTCGGTGTGAAGGTGTATGTGTGTGCGTGTACTCACGTGGTGGCGCACGGAGCGCTCGGTGTGAAGGTGTATGTGTGTGCGTGTACTCACGTGGTGGCGCACGGAGCGCTCGGTGTGAAGGTGTATGTGTGTGCGTGTACTCACGTGGTGGCGCACGGAGCGCTCGGTGTGAAGGTGTATGTGTGTGCGTGTACTCACGTGGTGGCGCACGGAGCGCTCGGTGTGAAGGTGTATGTGTGTGCGTGTACTCACGTGGTGGCGCACGGAGCGCTCGGTGTGAAGGTGTATGTGTGTGCGTGTACTCACGTGGTGGCGCACGGAGCGCTCGGTGTGAAGGTGTATGTGTGTGCGTGTACTCACGTGGTGGCGCACGGAGCGCTCGGTGTGAAGGTGTATGTGTGTGCGTGTACTCACGTGGTGGCGCACGGAGCGCTCGGTGTGAAGGTGTATGTGTGTGCGTGTACTCACGTGGTGGCGCACGGAGCGCTCGGTGTGAAGGTGTATGTGTGTGCGTGTACTCACGTGGTGGCGCACGGAGCGCTCGGTGTGAAGGTGTATGTGTGTGCGTGTACTCACGTGGTGGCGCACGGAGCGCTCGGTGTGAAGGTGTATGTGTGTGCGTGTACTCACGTGGTGGCGCACGGAGCGCTCGGTGTGAAGGTGTATGTGTGTGCGTGTACTCACGTGGTGGCGCACGGAGCGCTCGGTGTGAAGGTGTATGTGTGTGCGTGTACTCACGTGGTGGCGCACGGAGCGCTCGGTGTGAAGGTGTATGTGCGTGTACTCACGTGGTGGCGCACGGAGCGCTCGGTGTGAATGTGTATGTGCGTGCGTGTACTCACGTGGTGGCGCACGGAGCGCTCGGTGTGAAGGTGTATGTGTGTGCGTGTACTCACGTGGTGGCGCACGGAGCGCTCGGTGTGAAGGTGTATGTGTGTGCGTGTACTCACGTGGTGGCGCACGGAGCGCTCGGTGTGAAGGTGTATGTGTGTGCGTGTACTCACGTGGTGGCGCACGGAGCGCTCGGTGTGAAGGTATATGTGCGTGCGTGTACTCACGTGGTGGCGCACGGAGCGCTCGGTGTGAAGGTGTATGTGTGTGCGTGTACTCACGTGGTGGCGCACGGAGCGCTCGGTGTGAAGGTGTATGTGTGTGCGTGTACTCACGTGGTGGCGCACGGAGCGCTCGGTGTGAAGGTGTATGTGTGTGCGTGTACTCACGTGGTGGCGCACGGAGCGCTCGGTGTGAAGGTGTATGTGTGTGCGTGTACTCACGTGGTGGCGCACGGAGCGCTCGGTGTGAAGGTGTATGTGTGTGCGTGTACTCACGTGGTGGCGCACGGAGCGCTCGGTGTGAAGGTGTATGTGCGTGCGTGTACTCACGTGGTGGCGCACGGAGCGCTCGGTGTGAAGGTGTATGTGTGTGCGTGTACTCACGTGGTGGCGCACGGAGCGCTCGGTGTGAAGGTGTATGTGTGTGCGTGTACTCACGTGGTGGCGCACGGAGCGCTCGGTGTGAAGGTGTATGTGTGTGCGTGTACTCACGTGGTGGCGCACGGAGCGCTCGGTGTGAAGGTGTATGTGTGTGCGTGTACTCACGTGGTGGCGCACGGAGCGCTCGGTGTGAAGGTGTATGTGTGTGCGTGTACTCACGTGGTGGCGCACGGAGCGCTCGGTGTGAAGGTATATGTGCGTGCGTGTACTCACGTGGTGGCGCACGGAGCGCTCGGTGTGAAGGTGTATGTGTGTGCGTGTACTCACGTGGTGGCGCACGGAGCGCTCGGTGTGAAGGTGTATGTGTGTGCGTGTACTCACGTGGTGGCGCACGGAGCGCTCGGTGTGAAGGTGTATGTGTGTGCGTGTACTCACGTGGTGGCGCACGGAGCGCTCGGTGTGAAGGTGTATGTGTGTGCGTGTACTCACGTGGTGGCGCACGGAGCGCTCGGTGTGAAGGTGTATGTGTGTGCGTGTACTCACGTGGTGGCGCACGGAGCGCTCGGTGTGAAGGTGTATGTGTGTGCGTGTACTCACGTGGTGGCGCACGGAGCGCTCGGTGTGAAGGTGTATGTGTGTGCGTGTACTCACGTGGTGGCGCACGGAGCGCTCGGTGTGAAGGTGTATGTGCGTGTACTCACGTGGTGGCGCACGGAGCGCTCGGTGTGAAGGTGTATGTGTGTGCGTGTACTCACGTGGTGGCGCACGGAGCGCTCGGTGTGAAGGTGTATGTGTGTGCGTGTACTCACGTGGTGGCGCACGGAGCGCTCGGTGTGAAGGTGTATGTGTGTGCGTGTACTCACGTGGTGGCGCACGGAGCGCTCGGTGTGAAGGTGTATGTGTGTGCGTGTACTCACGTGGTGGCGCACGGAGCGCTCGGTGTGAAGGTATATGTGCGTGCGTGTACTCACGTGGTGGCGCACGGAGCGCTCGGTGTGAAGGTGTATGTGTGTGCGTGTACTCACGTGGTGGCGCACGGAGCGCTCGGTGTGAAGGTGTATGTGTGTGCGTGTACTCACGTGGTGGCGCACGGAGCGCTCGGTGTGAAGGTGTATGTGTGTGCGTGTACTCACGTGGTGGCGCACGGAGCGCTCGGTGTGAAGGTGTATGTGTGTGCGTGTACTCACGTGGTGGCGCACGGAGCGCTCGGTGTGAAGGTGTATGTGTGTGCGTGTACTCACGTGGTGGCGCACGGAGCGCTCGGTGTGAAGGTGTATGTGTGTGCGTGTACTCACGTGGTGGCGCACGGAGCGCTCGGTGTGAAGGTGTATGTGTGTGCGTGTACTCACGTGGTGGCGCACGGAGCGCTCGGTGTGAAGGTGTATGTGTGTGCGTGTACTCACGTGGTGGCGCACGGAGCGCTCGGTGTGAAGGTGTATGTGTGTGCGTGTACTCACGTGGTGGCGCACGGAGCGCTCGGTGTGAAGGTGTATGTGTGTGCGTGTACTCACGTGGTGGCGCACGGAGCGCTCGGTGTGAAGGTGTATGTGCGTGCGTGTACTCACGTGGTGGCGCACGGAGCGCTCGGTGTGAAGGTGTATGTGTGTGCGTGTACTCACGTGGTGGCGCACGGAGCGCTCGGTGTGAAGGTGTATGTGTGTGCGTGTACTCACGTGGTGGCGCACGGAGCGCTCGGTGTGAAGGTGTATGTGCGTGCGTGTACTCACGTGGTGGCGCACGGAGCGCTCGGTGTGAAGGTGTATGTGTGTGCGTGTACTCACGTGGTGGCGCACGGAGCGCTCGGTGTGAAGGTGTATGTGTGTGCGTGTACTCACGTGGTGGCGCACGGAGCGCTCGGTGTGAAGGTGTATGTGTGTGCGTGTACTCACGTGGTGGCGCACGGAGCGCTCGGTGTGAAGGTGTATGTGTGTGCGTGTACTCACGTGGTGGCGCACGGAGCGCTCGGTGTGAAGGTGTATGTGTGTGCGTGTACTCACGTGGTGGCGCACGGAGCGCTCGGTGTGAAGGTGTATGTGTGTGCGTGTACTCACGTGGTGGCGCACGGAGCGCTCGGTGTGAAGGTGTATGTGTGTGCGTGTACTCACGTGGTGGCGCACGGAGCGCTCGGTGTGAAGGTGTATGTGTGTGCGTGTACTCACGTGGTGGCGCACGGAGCGCTCGGTGTGAAGGTGTATGTGCGTGCGTGTACTCACGTGGTGGCGCACGGAGCGCTCGGTGTGAAGGTGTATGTGTGTGCGTGTACTCACGTGGTGGCGCACGGAGCGCTCGGTGTGAAGGTGTATGTGTGTGCGTGTACTCACGTGGTGGCGCACGGAGCGCTCGGTGTGAAGGTGTATGTGTGTGCGTGTACTCACGTGGTGGCGCACGGAGCGCTCGGTGTGAAGGTGTATGTGTGTGCGTGTACTCACGTGGTGGCGCACGGAGCGCTCGGTGTGAAGGTGTATGTGTGTGCGTGTACTCACGTGGTGGCGCACGGAGCGCTCGGTGTGAAGGTGTATGTGTGTGCGTGTACTCACGTGGTGGCGCACGGAGCGCTCGGTGTGAAGGTGTATGTGTGTGCGTGTACTCACGTGGTGGCGCACGGAGCGCTCGGGCGAGGGCGGCCGCGGCGGCGTGCTACCCGCGCTCTGCAACGTATTAACATAATTACTCAATTACTGCCAAAATATACTAATCTTAAACACTCACTGAAACGAAGAAACAGGAAACAGCCGCCTGTTGCGTTTTCTCTCGCACTTAGGCCTAAGTAATACAAACACAGTCGTCTAATTGAAGACCTAATACAAACAACACGTCTCTAATTGACACGCGATAGGACATGGCGACGCTAGCTGTTGTTTAACTTGTGTAAGCGCAGTTTGTTATCGCGTGGCAGCCTCGTATCTGTAGACGAAGTGTGAGACACCCCCCCCCCTCCACTAGATGGAGAGACGAACCTCGACACGTCGACGACGAGACAAGAAGTCGATGGATGCAGATGGCTCAGGTTCGTGCTTAGTGGTTGTTTAGGCCAATATTAAATATTTTGAGAATTGTGTTATAATCGCTCGTTAATAGCTTCGCACAGTAGCGAGGTCACATCATAGTCCCCCCCCCCCCCGGACGTTTCTGGTTTTATCGTGTCATCTAGCCCAGGCCACTTACACACAGTCTCACACAAATACCACCTACACTCACTACACTTTCTTCAGCCGGGCAGATCCTGTTGAACAGTCTCCGCTCCCGAAGCAGGTAAGTGCCTTCCCGTTAACTGGTCTTCCCCCTTTATTGTGATAGGATATTTCCCAGTGGCCTTTAGAGGCCCGACCTGCGTCTACCCGTAGAATTCCTGCTTGGGCCCGGGTAGCCTACCTTTGCAGGAGTATCCGTATCAGTGGTGTTCCTTGGATAAGGCCTATGTTCAACAGTGAACTTGTGAAGGGGTGTAATCATAATAATGAAGCCGTGTAATGGCGACGTAAAAGAATCGACCACTCCATTATGTCTTGTTGATGCCTCAACAAACAACTATAAGAAACGTCAAAAAATCCCTTGGCTTCCGATAACTGGCAGTATAACCATTTCGTTTACGGACTTAAAATAACCAGACCGGAAATGAAACCACCGTGCAATCAAGTTTGGTAACTGCAATTATCAAGCCTGCCAAGCAATTAAACCAAATTTTCTCTACAACAAGGAATACCTATGTCCAGAAAAGGAATTTTATATTCAAATTCAAATCGTTTATTGCGAATACAAGTTGATACAGTTGGTATTTACGTAGTTTATCACTTATAGAACAAACATTTAGTACAACTATATTTCGCCATTTGGCATGCAATGTCATCACATTTTATTACTTTTATATTAAATTACTTAAACATACTCTAGTTAAAATTGGAGTTCAAATGATACAAAATCAAAAATAATAGCGATAAGTCAATTTAGTTATTCTGAGTCATGTAACAGTCAATTATTGAATTTCATATTTGTCTTCGCGATATTTTTTTACACTGTAGTATGCCCTATTAACAAGAAATTGCTTCAATAGTATTTTAATCTTATCTATATTGGAGCATCTAAAAATGTGTAATGGTAAATGGTTATAAATTCGAGGAGCCATTCAAAATATACTGTTGTTAAATTGGGTTGCTTTGTTTGATGGAAAACATATTTTGTGATTATTATGTTTACTGCGTAGGCACTCAAATAAAGAAATATGCATAATAACAAAAACGGCTCCCTCATATATATAAAGGCATGGAAGTGTTAACAGTTTCAGACTAATAAAAGATGGTTTACAACTATCCGTCTGTTTTAACTTCACAATGGCTCCTACACATCTTTTTTGGGCTCTAAATTTCATTTCATTGTCTACAGAGTTACCCCAAAAGATGACACCATGCCTTAACACTGATTCTACATAACCGTGGTACGAATGATGACGGCAGATTGATGAGTGCATAAGAGAACCGGTTGAGTTCAGTACAAATATCTTCCACTTGAGATTTTCATTTTAAGTTTGAATCGAGATTGAGGCCTAAAAATTTTGCATTTTCGACTACATTAATTTGTTGTCCGTTGTAGCATATATTAAGATTTATTAAATTATTTTTCATATTTCTGAATATCATTAGATTTGTTTTGTTTAAATTAATTAATAAATTATTATTTGATAACCATTGAATTATTATGTCCAGTGTTTGATTTATGTCAGATATCATTTGATTTTTGCTTGTGCTTGTAAACGTCACTGTGCCATCGTCTGTAAATAGTAACATATCTTGATTTACATAATTTGGTAAATGGTTTATATAAACAAAGAATAATAATGGACCAAGAATACTTCCCTAGGGTACTCTTTGAGTTACTTCACGATATGACGATGAATGAACTATTTGTCTATACGTTTTTAAGAATATACGCGTAATTTTTGTACATTGTTGTCGATTTATTAGGTATGTTTTTAGGAGATTGAGGACATTTCCTCTGATTCTGTATGCTTCTAATTTACTTAAGAGGATACTGTGATTAACAGAGTCAAAAGCTTTAGTTAAATCCATATATAGAGCAGATACTTAAAGTGCTTTTTATTAAGGCTTGTTATTAGATATACATTGATAAAGTGTACTATATTAATATAGTGTTTATATTTATGACTTTTTATATTAATATTTTATTTATGTTACAAAATGTAATCATAACAGAAAATATAATGCAGTTGCGGAGATCTTCCCAGCGGTAAATGACTTCTATTAGTATTATATAATCGCACTGTGCGGAATTATAATAGCAGTTGCAATGTTCCTTGGCAACATAAAAAGTAAGGTAGATGGCTGTTGCATTATTTCTGTATATTAATTATTTAAATTTTTAATTCAATAAATTCATTGTTCAAATAAGACGACGAAAATAAGCCTTAAATAACAATATGGTAGAGTTAAAAATTCAATACAGCATTGCGAAAATTTTGTAGTATAATGATTTATAGAGACAGGAGACTGTCATCGTAATCATAGGTGTTTATTATTTCTATAAACGCAGAAGTTACAGAGTATTTATAAAAATGAAACGTGAAAAGTAGTAGTTATGGTGACATTGTGTGATAAGAGAGAAGTGTGGTTTGGAAGATGATGTTATGATTAGAATTAAAGAAAGGAATGCTTCTGTTGTTTCTTGGTTATGTTGAAAGAATGAATAAGGCAAGAGTGACAAAGCAAATTTATGTTGTAGAACGATGGAGTTGGTAAGAGACGTCTTGGACGAAAGTTTTTCGATTAAATTGGCGATATATTTAAGGGATCAGATTAAGAGTACTCTTAACAGATGTGCATGTATGCGTAGGTATATGAATTTAAGGAGGCGTGTTGGGATTATTATTATGGGTTACTGGTGTGAGTGTATTAATAAGTTTTCGATGAGAGTTTCTTACTTATGAGCGAGACGTGATGTATGTTAGAGCGTGTGTGTGTACGTACGTGCGGCGGGGTACGCGCCGGCGGCGGCGTGTCGAGGCGGCGGTGCCGGTGCCGGTGGCGGCGTCGTGGCGGCGTGGCCCCGCCCCCCGTGCCCCCCGCACCCGCCTCGCTCGCGCTCGCTGCTGCCTCGCTCGCCGCACGCTCCGAGCGGGGCGAGCGCGGCGAGCGTGGGGAGCGAGGCGAGGGCGGTGACGGCGAGGGCGGCGGGGAGCGCGGGGACGGAGAGCGTGGGGAGCGCGGCGAGGCGGGCGAGCGTGGCGAGGGCGGCGCGGGCGGCGTGAGCGAGCCGCCCGCCGACACAGCGCGCGCCTCCTCCGCGCCCTCCGCGCCCGCGTCCGCGGCCGCCGCGTGTCGCCCGCTGCACCGACACAATCAGATATATTCTAACTGTCAACACCTCCGCGTAAACAAACGAACGTGCGGGGACAACACGATAAGTGACAACTCCGCCTGACCGTGGACAGGCCAGATACAATCATTACACTTATATACAAAATCTATGCAATATCATATTTAAAAATACAAACATAGCATTATTGAATTATAATACCCTCGGCAATTTCCGGCAAAAACAAAAAGCATCACGATGCGTGGTGCAGGTACCTGTGCGCGTTGCGGTGGCGGTGGTGGCGGTGGCGGTGCGACGGCTCGCTGGCGTCGAGGATGGCGCGCGGCTCGTACTGCGCGTCGTGGTCGCGGCGCGCGCGGGCCCAGGCAGCCGCAGCAGCTCGCGGGCTGGCGCCGGCGGCCAGGTCGCGGCGCAGCGCCTCCAGCTCGTCGGCCTCGCGCGCGCGCTCCCGCGCGTCCGCCTCCGCCTCGCGCACGCGCGCGCCCAGCCGCCGCGCCAGCTCCTTGCCCTGCGACACCACACCGCAACCTCGTCACAGACCACCTCACACTGCTTACGTTACCACATTCACTTATGTTTCAAAACATTTCATAATATTAAATTTAAAAAACATATGATAAAAATGAAGAATATCGTATTGTTTTTAGTAAAATACTATAACAATATCAACAGCAAAACATGAATAAAAAAAATTATACACAAATATAACGTAGTTTGTCTCTCTAAACATCGCACTCAATGTGTTCATTAAGCTCTTTAGCTTCAACTAGCAAAGGGAATATCAAAATGCACAATGTTGCCTTAACCCCTGAAAATCGCGAGCGGGAACGCTCCTGCGCCTTGCGCCGCTCGCGGTGTAGTGTGTAGTGTGTTGTGTTGTGTGTAGAGTGTAGTGTGTAGTGTGCTGTGCACAGCGTACCTTGTAGTACTTGTGGTCGTCGCGCTCGTCGTCGTAGTCCTCGAGGAACTCCTTGAGGCGCTTGGCCTCGCGCGCGCGCTCGTGCGAGCGGGCGCGAGAGCGGGAGCGCGAGCGCGCGTGCTCCTGCGCCTTGCGCCGCTCGCGGTGTAGTGTGTAGTGTGTTGTGTTGTGTGTAGAGTGTAGTGTGTGTTGTGTGTTGTGCACAGCGTACCTTGTAGTACTTGTGGTCGTCGCGCTCGTCGTCGTAGTCCTCGAGGAACTCCTTGAGGCGCTTGGCCTCGCGCGCGCGCTCGTGCGAGCGGGCGCGAGAGCGGGAGCGCGAGCGCGCGTGCTTCTGCGCCTTGCGCCGCTCGCGGTGTAGTGTGTAGTGTGTTGTGTTGTGTGTAGAGTGTAGTGTGTGTTGTGTGTTGTGCACAGCGTACCTTGTAGTACTTGTGGTCGTCGCGCTCGTCGTCGTAGTCCTCGAGGAACTCCTTGAGGCGCTTGGCCTCGCGCGCGCGCTCGTGCGAGCGGGCGCGAGAGCGGGAGCGCGAGCGCGCGTGCTCCTGCGCCTTGCGCCGCTCGCGGTGTAGTGTGTAGTGTGTTGTGTTGTGTGTAGAGTGTAGTGTGTGTTGTGTGTTGTGCACAGCGTACCTTGTAGTACTTGTGGTCGTCGCGCTCGTCGTCGTAGTCCTCGAGGAACTCCTTGAGGCGCTTGGCCTCGCGCGCGCGCTCGTGCGAGCGGGCGCGAGAGCGGGAGCGCGAGCGCGCGTGCTCCTGCGCCTTGCGCCGCTCGCGGTGTAGTGTGTAGTGTGTTGTGTTGTGTGTAGAGTGTAGTGTGTGTTGTGTGTTGTGCACAGCGTACCTTGTAGTACTTGTGGTCGTCGCGCTCGTCGTCGTAGTCCTCGAGGAACTCCTTGAGGCGCTTGGCCTCGCGCGCGCGCTCGTGCGAGCGGGCGCGAGAGCGGGAGCGCGAGCGCGCGTGCTCCTGCGCCTTGCGCCGCTCGCGGTGTAGTGTGTAGTGTGTTGTGTTGTGTGTAGTGTAGTGTGTGTTGTGTGTTGTGCACAGCGTACCTTGTAGTACTTGTGGTCGTCGCGCTCGTCGTCGTAGTCCTCGAGGAACTCCTTGAGGCGCTTGGCCTCGCGCGCGCGCTCGTGCGAGCGGGCGCGAGAGCGGGAGCGCGAGCGCGCGTGCTCCTGCGCCTTGCGCCGCTCGCGGTGTAGTGTGTAGTGTGTTGTGTTGTGTGTAGAGTGTAGTGTGTGTTGTGTGTTGTGCACAGCGTACCTTGTAGTACTTGTGGTCGTCGCGCTCGTCGTCGTAGTCCTCGAGGAACTCCTTGAGGCGCTTGGCCTCGCGCGCGCGCTCGTGCGAGCGGGCGCGAGAGCGGGAGCGCGAGCGCGCGTGCTCCTGCGCATTGCGCCGCTCGCGGTGTAGTGTGTAGTGTGTTGTGTTGTGTGTAGAGTGTAGTGTGTGTTGTGTGTTGTGCACAGCGTACCTTGTAGTACTTGTGGTCGTCGCGCTCGTCGTCGTAGTCCTCGAGGAACTCCTTGAGGCGCTTGGCCTCGCGCGCGCGCTCGTGCGAGCGGGCGCGAGAGCGGGAGCGCGAGCGCGCGTGCTTCTGCGCCTTGCGCCGCTCGCGGTGTAGTGTGTAGTGTGTTGTGTTGTGTGTAGAGTGTAGTGTGTGTTGTGTGTTGTGCACAGCGTACCTTGTAGTACTTGTGGTCGTCGCGCTCGTCGTCGTAGTCCTCGAGGAACTCCTTGAGGCGCTTGGCCTCGCGCGCGCGCTCGTGCGAGCGGGCGCGAGAGCGGGAGCGCGAGCGCGCGTGCTCCTGCGCATTGCGCCGCTCGCGGTGTAGTGTGTAGTGTGTTGTGTTGTGTGTAGAGTGTAGTGTGTGTTGTGTGTTGTGCACAGCGTACCTTGTAGTACTTGTGGTCGTCGCGCTCGTCGTCGTAGTCCTCGAGGAACTCCTTGAGGCGCTTGGCCTCGCGCGCGCGCTCGTGCGAGCGGGCGCGAGAGCGGGAGCGCGAGCGCGCGTGCTTCTGCGCCTTGCGCCGCTCGCGGTGTAGTGTGTAGTGTGTTGTGTTGTGTGTAGAGTGTAGTGTGTGTTGTGTGTTGTGCACAGCGTACCTTGTAGTACTTGTGGTCGTCGCGCTCGTCGTCGTAGTCCTCGAGGAACTCCTTGAGGCGCTTGGCCTCGCGCGCGCGCTCGTGCGAGCGGGCGCGAGAGCGGGAGCGCGAGCGCGCGTGCTCCTGCGCCTTGCGCCGCTCGCGGTGTAGTGTGTAGTGTGTTGTGTTGTGTGTAGAGTGTAGTGTGTGTTGTGTGTTGTGCACAGCGTACCTTGTAGTACTTGTGGTCGTCGCGCTCGTCGTCGTAGTCCTCGAGGAACTCCTTGAGGCGCTTGGCCTCGCGCGCGCGCTCGTGCGAGCGGGCGCGAGAGCGGGAGCGCGAGCGCGCGTGCTCCTGCGCATTGCGCCGCTCGCGGTGTAGTGTGTAGTGTGTTGTGTTGTGTGTAGAGTGTAGTGTGTGTTGTGTGTTGTGCACAGCGTACCTTGTAGTACTTGTGGTCGTCGCGCTCGTCGTCGTAGTCCTCGAGGAACTCCTTGAGGCGCTTGGCCTCGCGCGCGCGCTCGTGCGAGCGGGCGCGAGAGCGGGAGCGCGAGCGCGCGTGCTTCTGCGCCTTGCGCCGCTCGCGGTGTAGTGTGTAGTGTGTTGTGTTGTGTGTAGAGTGTAGTGTGTGTTGTGTGTTGTGCACAGCGTACCTTGTAGTACTTGTGGTCGTCGCGCTCGTCGTCGTAGTCCTCGAGGAACTCCTTGAGGCGCTTGGCCTCGCGCGCGCGCTCGTGCGAGCGGGCGCGAGAGCGGGAGCGCGAGCGCGCGTGCTCCTGCGCCTTGCGCCGCTCGCGGTGTAGTGTGTAGTGTGTTGTGTTGTGTGTAGAGTGTAGTGTGTGTTGTGTGTTGTGCACAGCGTACCTTGTAGTACTTGTGGTCGTCGCGCTCGTCGTCGTAGTCCTCGAGGAACTCCTTGAGGCGCTTGGCCTCGCGCGCGCGCTCGTGCGAGCGGGCGCGAGAGCGGGAGCGCGAGCGCGCGTGCTCCTGCGCCTTGCGCCGCTCGCGGTGTAGTGTGTAGTGTGTTGTGTTGTGTGTAGAGTGTAGTGTGTGTTGTGTGTTGTGCACAGCGTACCTTGTAGTACTTGTGGTCGTCGCGCTCGTCGTCGTAGTCCTCGAGGAACTCCTTGAGGCGCTTGGCCTCGCGCGCGCGCTCGTGCGAGCGGGCGCGAGAGCGGGAGCGCGAGCGCGCGTGCTCCTGCGCATTGCGCCGCTCGCGGTGTAGTGTGTAGTGTGTTGTGTTGTGTGTAGAGTGTAGTGTGTGTTGTGTGTTGTGCACAGCGTACCTTGTAGTACTTGTGGTCGTCGCGCTCGTCGTCGTAGTCCTCGAGGAACTCCTTGAGGCGCTTGGCCTCGCGCGCGCGCTCGTGCGAGCGGGCGCGAGAGCGGGAGCGCGAGCGCGCGTGCTTCTGCGCCTTGCGCCGCTCGCGGTGTAGTGTGTAGTGTGTTGTGTTGTGTGTAGAGTGTAGTGTGTGTTGTGTGTTGTGCACAGCGTACCTTGTAGTACTTGTGGTCGTCGCGCTCGTCGTCGTAGTCCTCGAGGAACTCCTTGAGGCGCTTGGCCTCGCGCGCGCGCTCGTGCGAGCGGGCGCGAGAGCGGGAGCGCGAGCGCGCGTGCTCTTGCGCCTTGCGCCGCTCGCGGCTCTCCCACTTGCGCAGCCTGCACACAGCATAAATCCGCGTATCGATTATACGCTCCAACAGATCGAACGTTGGCGCGCGCTCCAGCCGCGCGAAATGGATACCGCTTTGAAACGCGCGCCAAATTGTTCGCTGGAGCGCTCAAACGTGGAGCGAGCCGCTCCATCTGGTGTCGGTTTTTTACCACGCATCTGTAATGTCGGAACTCGGAAGGTGCTGAATGAAGGAGACGTGTTGCTTGTACAAGAACTTTAATTATACTGTCCTCTATTCTATACTTAATACTAATTTTATAAATGTATATTGTCGGAGGTAAAGGGGAGTCTACAGGGCACTACACCTCCCACCGACCAAAAAATAAAAAAAAATTAATGATTACATTTTTTTTTATAAACTTTAAAAAATATTTTCTTATATTTTGTTTTACATTTCAAGATACTTTTATTTAATTCACTTTTTTATTAACTTTATATATTTACTTTATTCTTCGGTAACTATTATTTATTTTTCATTTTTCTGCATGGCATTAAATATCATTAATAATAATATTCATCAAATAATTGTGTCTTTTCTTTCACGTACACAGCTCGCGTATACATCATTAAGAACATGGCCAATGTATATAGTCCTTTCTATGATTCTCATTTCAGTTAATAAAATAGTTACGTACGAGTAACTTAACTTAGTCATAAAATTATATGTCATTTGAGAGAAGAATTATTTCCTTTACATATACATATTTTTAAGAATCGAGGCTCACTATTTAATCATATATCATAAATAAACTATTTAAATCCCTTAAATGCTTTCCTAAAAGAATAATTTCAATATATTATAAATCTTATAATTTACTGAGGTTTAACCTTCATTCTTACATTCAATTTAACCAAAAATTTAATTATTTCATTTCATATTAAGATGAACAGAACAAAGAAGTCAATGTTAAGCCACGTAATCATTTTCAATAACAATAACATAATCACATAACAAAAGACAGATCAAAATACAAATTGCGATCCCAGCTGCGTAAGCGATTTGTGACACTTTTGTTTTCAATTCCAAAGTACGTTTATGGGAAAGTTTGCGATTACATCGTATGATGTTATTATTACATACATATATGGATACGTGGAAAATAATAGATTTATTTTTATGATTCTTATTTATACATAATTTTAGATAGTTACTTTAATTTTACATCCATCAAAAAAAAAATGCGTTATTTTTTTTTTAATTACAATTTCTGGGAGTATGATATTTACTATATCGTTTACAGAAAATAATTGAATAATCACTGTAACACATATCAACTTTACACAACAAAACATTAAAAATTTAAACATTCAAAAGAACAATTTTTGTTTTTTAAGTAGGTTATTACATAAATTTAAGGTCCTTGCTTTTATAAAAGAAAAGAAAAGCTAACACTTATAATTAATACTTAATAGTTTTAACTCTTTTCAAATTGAATCTTACATTTAAATAAAATTTACTATAGGAAAAAAAAACATGTGATATAGAGATATAAGGAAATGTGTCAATGAGAAGGACACGTTTTGCTTACTCGGTTCAATAGTTTAGCTTGATTTATTTTTTATTTTTACATTTAGTTAACTATTAGGTATTTATTTAACTTCTTTATCAGATATTCTTTATTACAAAATTTTACCATAACTTTCAAAATGGTTTATTATGAATACACTTAAAATGTATCTGAAAATTCTGGTATTAAACACTTTTTAATTTACGTATTAAATATTTTACATTGCATTGTGTCATAATAAATTTACATACATTACCAAGTATTTATTATTATAAATGTTATTTATCATTAAAAGTCGTAAACGCATTAATACCTTTTTAAGATTACATGACTCCTAAGAAATGTGTTTATCTCATTTGAAATATAGATTTATGAAAACATAGGTTATTACACAAATATAAGTTTATATAGCAAAATATATGTTTGTATAGTATTTTTGGTATATAATAACATAATATTTGGTTTTATAGTCTATAAAAGAAAAAAATATTACATTATGAAACTTATATAAGTAATAGCGGATCGATACTGTTTCGACTTGATTTTAAAAACAATATATTAACCAAATTTAATTGAAAATTGTTCAACTTTTACATAAACAAAAAAAACATAATATAAAATATAAAATTCAAGGTTAAATTATTATTTTAAGGAAAAAATCTTGTAAATTCATATAAAATATACGCGAAATATATGCGCGAAAATGTTTTTTTTTTTTTTCATATTTAATTATTGATGTTTTTGTGTACATGCGGTTGTGTGTCTATAATTACAACATGTTTAATTTGAGTATTAAATAATTGTTAGTTGGCTGAAATGTGCGGCATGCACTGTACTTTATTGTATAAATATAATATTTATACTCTACTCTGATTACGTTCGTATCTCTAATTTATTTCAACATCTCCTTCCTATTTTTTTTTTATTATGTTGAATTTTGAACTTTGATTAATTTGATTCTATATAATACGAAACAATCTTTTATAACTATTCATTATTTTTATAACGTAATTATTATTATTACGTGTATAATATGTACCTATTGCAATAATAATTTATATTATGATTTTATTTTATTTTAAGCCCTATACTCTAAATTATTGCGATTATGGATAAAGTATATTATTTGCTATATGATTATAACACGTGTATTATATTAGGTATTTATTTAATTATACATGCAGTTATGTGGATCGATCCTATAGGTACTACATGTGCAACTAGTAGGTAGCATTTTGGGTAGCATCCTAGTAAAGAAATGCAAATAACTACCTATCTCACTTTATAGATTTGGTCGGGGATCCCCTTAATACCGTGTATGTAACACATTTTATTTTTTGTCATGTCCTTTTATGATTTAAAATTTTCTCATTTCATTGTACTTATTTTCATACCAGTACGACTACTCCTATTTACTTTGTTTAAATTATTAGGCCTTAGGTTATACATATATGTATTTATATTTTCTTTTATAATTCTCGTATGTACATACTTTCTTTCCTTTCATAATAATTTATTCCTTTTGACCTTTTAGCTAGCTTAATTTGTTTTCGTAATTCTATTCACTTATATATTTATTTATTTATTAGATATCGGGAATCGGAGTATTAATTCACTTCATTTATATTTTATTTCGTGATATTTATCACGCGGGTACTTTATAAATATGGGCCCCCCATTTACTTGGGTATTATATTACATTTTCATAACATTCATTTCATTTTATTGGTACATTAACTTTTTTTATCATACTATCTCAAGGTAGAACTGTACCTTGGGTTGTGCGCACAACCTTGAGGTCAACTTTTAAGTCATTTTAAAAGGACTCCAACAATTGTCACGGAGGAAATCTAAGTTCACACTATGATCCAATGAAGGATGTGACCCCTATGTACCATTATTAAGGGTAACAAATTTAAGACTTCTCTGGTCCCCAACAGTACTAATATGAGTAAACTCGTTCACATCTCATTTGTACTGAAGGTATTGTTCCCTAGTACCCGTTACTTCCGATTTTATCATCCAATCATGGAAACATACCCTGCTCGAGGACTATATGCTTTACCAGTGATGGACGTTCCCGTATCTCTCCATGATTTATTTATCAAGGTCATTATAATATGTTTTATTTCTATTCTCTTAATAAACCATTTTGCTTCTTTATTTATACATGACCCGTGTTTTTTTTTTTTTTTTTACATCTTAATATCTGTTTGGGTGTATCGGGTATTTTTATTCACTTGCATGCTCCACTTCCATATACTAATTTGCATTATTCTCGCTCATAATGAGTTCCATACCAAGAGTTTAAGCATTCATCAATATTTGGGTGATCAGTCCAATATTGAGGAAACTTAGCAACTCGATCATTCGTATTCACACTTTCGAACATTCTTTTCTTCCATTCCTCATATCTTTTAATTACATACATTCTAATTTTGTACAAATTGGATAACATTTTTGTCAGTCTATTTTTTTTTGCCGTTTTTAACTGTTATTAACTGTTTTAACATTATTATTAAACCTCTTAATTATTTTTATTTTATTTTACAGTATTTCATTATTTTCATATTTATGTTACACGTTATTATTATTTATATTTATTATTATCCACGTGTTTACAGGTCATTTCTTATTTATTTTTTGATATTATTATTTTCGTCTTTATTAGAATGTTGTTATGATTTATTTTTATGCACCTGTTCATATATCGCATGTTGCTCTCTATTGTTTTAAGATAAGCTCATTGCATAACATGTCATATTTATAGATATATCATTCATAAGAAAAGTTTAGCATACTTATTATATTCACTGTGTAAAGATTGTTACATTTGAATTTTGAATTGAAATTGAATTTAACTTATCTAGATTAGTTTGTGGTCGTTAAAAGAAAAAGTGTTATTTTACTATAAAATATGAAACAATTAATTTATGATGAACTATAGTAAATTTAAGGACATAAAAATGTAATAAATCACATTATTTCATTAATTTTTGCACGACACAGTTATAAAATAATATAAGACAATAACTGAAAAAAGTGAATATAAAATCGACTTGTACCTTAATAAAACATGCCACAGAAGTGCATACATAACTTAATTTATAATTATTGCTTTTTAATTATTTTTTCAGATACAGTAATAAAATATTAAAAAATCAATTGAATCGTAAATTATCTGATAATTACTTTCAATTTAAACATAGGTGTATTAAATATAGAATATTTAATACTTAAATTCATAAAATATAATAGCAAAAAGAACATAAAACAATCACAAATTGATAAATAAAGTTTTAGATGGAGATAAAATCACAAAAGTGGGAAGTTACCTCTTAATATCTTCTTTGTACTTTCTGACTCAAATTTCACATTCTTCTGGGCTAAGCTTCCTAGGGTACAACTGCTGTTCCTTTCTTCATTATACTTCTCATAATTATCAATATTAAGTATTTTATTCTTCATATTACCTT